GCGCGTTCATCTGTGGCTGTCGACTATAGTTGACACTTGCTGTGCGCGTTCATCTGTGGCTGTCGACTATAGTTGACACTGTGCCATGCACCTTCATCTGTGGCTGTCAACCCACTACAGTGGACGCTGGGCTGTGCTCGTTCATCTGTGGCTGTCGACTATAGTTGACACTTGCTGTGCACCTTCATCTGTGGCTGTCGACCCACTACAGTGGACGCTGGGCTGTGCTCGTTCATCTGTGGCTGTCAACCCACTACAGTGGGCGCTGGGCTGTGCTCGTTCATCTGTGGCTGTCGACCCACTACAGTGGGCGCTGGGCTGTGCTCGTTCATCTGTGGCTGTCGACTATAGTTGACACTGTGCCATGCGCCTTCATCTGTGGCTGTCGACCCACTACAGTGGACGCTGGGCTGTGATCATTCATCTGTGGCTGTCGACCCACCACAGTGGACGCTGGGCTGTGCGCGTTCATCTGTGGCTGTCGACCCACCACAGTGGACGCTGGGCTGTGCGCGTTCATCTGTGGCTGTCGACTATAATTGACGCTGGTACTGAAGTGGTTAAACCACCACCGCAGGTGGAAACTCTAGCTGGGTTTGGGTGACAGGAGGGCAGAAGGTAAGACCGGGATTTTCTAAATATAATTTTGTTTTCTGAAAGGAAAAAGCAAGACCCTCAAGGGCTTGCTGGCCTCCCACCCCCCGTCCCAGAACCTGCGTGTGAGGGCAGCGGCTGGGACTCCCACTCAGGGCAGCAACTTCCTTCCTCTTCCCCGGCGACGGAGCCTGCGTCTGTGGTCTCCGTGGCTACCTGCCTCACAGCTGCCGCCCTGGCCCACCCGGCGTGCCAGCCGCTGACCTGCGCGAGCGTCCCCCCGGGAACCTCCCTCTGCCAGGTGAGCTCCCCAACCCCACGCCCCATCCGCCGGGACCCTGTTTCCCCGTCTTGCCCTCCACCCCTTTACCACCGAGGTCTCGTCTCCTCACACCATGTCATAGTCGGTGCTCGGCCTGAGCTTGCTGGGGACCCCTGGTTGCCACCCGTGGAGACCCCTCCTCACGGTCTTCCTAGTCGACCTCTTGGTCCCCTCTGAGCCCATCCGCCACCAGCCTCGAGAAGGCCCGTCCTCCCGTGGTCCCCTGTGGGCTCAGAGCGGTCGGCTCCTGCCTGTTCCACCTGCCGGCACTCATCCTGACACACCTGTGTGACCTCACCTTCCCTCTCACGCCAGCCGGCCTGCGGCTGCAGAAAGTCCACCCTATTCTCCGGGCATGTCTCGGGCCCAGGTGTGTGACTCCAGGACAGCGAGCTGCACAGGCAGAGCCCAGGGCGCCTCTGGTGGTGTGGGGAACGGACGCAGGTGGGTCTGGCCGCGTGTGCGGCTGGGGCTGGGCGCGGCAGGGGCCGGGCGCGGCAAGGCCCCCAGGGGGTGCAGAGTCGGTGTGAGCAGCTGGGACGTCCCAGGAAGGAGCCTGGACAAGGAGAGGGAGAAGACACAGAAGAGCGCTACCACGGATGTCTCCGGATCACGGGGCTCTGTGTGTAACTGGCTGCAGGAGTGCGGCAGGCGCTGACGCACCCTCGGAATCCTCCGGAAGGGTGGAGAGCAGACTCTTCCAGTCCCTTTTAAGTACAGTTTGCCTGTTCGAACGTCGCTTCTTCGAAGTCGAGGGCCGTCTGGTACTGAGCCCCAGTAGTCGGGGGCTCCCGGGATCGTACTCGAGCGGAGCGTTGCCGTGGTAGCGGCCTCCTGGTCACAGCGTGTGTGAGGCACCCTTCGGCGTGGGGCTGCAAGCCGGGCCCCGCACATACGTGTGAGGCTGCAGCCATGGGGTCCAGGTGCGGGCCGTCCTGCAGGGAGCCGTCACGGGGCACGAGGTCTCCCAGGGAGGGAACTGAGGGAGGGAGAGAGACCAGCGCCGTGGGGCTAGGGAGGCCCCCCGGGGGCAGACAGATGTGCTGTGCGGTTAGAAAACCCACCCGGAACCTCACACTGGCTTGTCCGAAGCTGAGGACGGTGGGCGGGTGGGTCGAGAAGTGTGGCCAACGGCGTCCAGGGCTCTGGAGAACTGGACACACACGGGGGCCGGGGCCCCGTGACGACCCCCTCCAGGCCCCGCTGTGGCGTCTCAGCAGGGCCCTCTGGGGCCGCCATGGGAACGGCGGCACCTGCCCCCACTCCGCTCACACCTGGGCGTCGTGTCAGAGCCCATCTGCACCTTCCTCCGGTCTCCAGGGCACGAGCTTCTCAATCAAACGCTCCTGCCCCTGCCTGCGGCGTGAGCAGGCACTGCTGTGGGCGTCGCACCTGGCCCTGCTCAGCAGCTCCCAGACACCACCTCCGGGATGGCTGCCCACACCCGGTCCCATTAGCATGGCCCCAGCCACACGGTGCTCTGCCTCCACCCACCGCGAACCCCATGCCCCGGGCGGCAGCGGACCCCGATGGCCGGCCGCCCCGCTGCTCATGGCAGCTGCCCAGACCTCGTCCACCCTCCCCAGTCTGGACGGCCGGGCCTCCCCCCACTCCGCAGAGGGTGGCGTGGGCTCCTGCTTACCGGAACATTCCTCACTTTCCTCCTTCTGCCTAAAAATGCCTAAAAATGCCCATTCATTTCTCACCTTCCTGCCTGGAGCACCATTTCCCGTCACCTGGTCCTTGTCTTCTCCCTCTCTCCCCCACCGACGTAAGCCTGGGGCTGCTCACCGAGTAATTTTAGGTGCTCGTGTCTCTCGGTTTCCAAAGGAGACGCTCCACACCTCACTGAATGACCGCAGGAGTGTGCTCATCAGCAAGTCCGATTATTTCCTTTCCCTCCAATAACAAAAACAAGAGCCGGGGTGGCCGGGCAGTGAGCAGAGCCTGGGGAACTCAGAACCCCCTCGAGTTCATCTCCTGCTCATCTCTAGCCACGATGCGCCGTTCCTATCTCAGTTATCTAAGAGACAGTCCATCAGTCGTGGAAATGAGCTGGGCGAGCACCTGGACAGGAAGCCATGGAGCCGACAGCACAGACGACCGAGCGGTCTGTAGCATGACAGTCGCATCTTAAGAAGCCGGTGCCGTGTGTTTGACCTCCGGGTGGTGCCCATGGGGTCCTCATCTCCAGACCCGGCACCGTCCTGCAGTGTGGACTGTGGCGCGGGGGCCACAGGGCTGCGTGGCAGCCAGGGGTCGTCCCACCGGGACACCCCACCCGTCTCCCGCTGGGGCTTTGCTCCCAGGGAAGGTGCCCAGGGCAGCCGGGGCCAGGAGGGGACGGGGCGCCAGGAAGGCTCTGAGCGGGGCTTGCGTGTGTCGATCCCCAGTCTTCTCAACGCCTCTCGAAGGGGACACGTCTCTCGTTCGTGTCACAGGAGAGGAAAGTTGCAGAGTTTAAGGAGCTTGTCCAAAGCCGGGGGGAATGTGGCTGTGGAAGGTGGAATTTGAGCCCTGGCCCTCCGGAGCCCAGACCTGCAGGAGGGGCAGGAAGAGCAGAGGAGGGAGGACGGGGAGGGGACCAGTGGCCTCGGGTGCAGTTGGGGTGGCTACTTATGACCCCACTGTCTGGTGAAGGCGGGTCGGGCGCAGTGACACGTGAGAACGTTCCCTGTTTATCATTTGCTGGAAGTACTGGAAGTTTCCACTCTCATTTCCACTCTCGGGTCCTCGCAGGAAGTGACCGAGTCCGGCGGTCATGAAAAACGAGGAAGCCGCGGTGGCCGCCCCAGGCGTGCTGGGGCCCATCAGTGAGGAGCAGAGGACGCCTGGGAAAATGGCTTAGCTTTTTTCTTTGCCTCAGTTTCCCCATCTGTGAAATACTCCACGCCTCGTAACGTTTTGGTAAGGATTCAGATGAACTAATTCATGCATATAATTTTCATAAGGAAAGAGGATTCCTTTTGGCGTCTCTTTCCGGAGAATTCTCTGCAGCTGGGTCCTCCTGGTCGCGGCCGGGCTGCGGCGTCCTGCACCCTCCCACGCGAACACCAGGGGGCGCCCGGCACGCACGGAAGGGGCTCGCTGCCTCTGCCTGGTCCGGCTCCTTTGTCTTTAGCAGGAAAGAAAAGCCACAAACCACCTGGGCAGCCAGGCTGCCGGCAGCGGTGATTGACTGTGAAGCATTTGCAGTTTCCCCTGCTCCAGTTTTGGGGGCCCCGCTGAGCAGGGAGGCGGGGTCCTGCGTGAACTGCGCAGACACTTCTGTGAAACCAAACGCAAACCGCGGGCTCCGCAGTGGGAACCCTCACCTGGCGGAACCCTCAGAGCAGGTGGATCTCAGGTGGCCCTGGAGGCACCATGCGGAGCAGCTTTAGGGGTGCTTCGTGGCCCCCCTCCCCGCCGTCACCCCCAAGACAAAAGCCCTTGTTCTCTGTCTCTTTGCACAAACCCCGGCTCCAACGTACGACAGGCCCACGTTGCAAACCAAGCAATAGAGAGGAAATAGGAACTCTATCTTTGACATCAATCTTCAATTTCCTGTGTTAGGAGAACATTAAAAAAAAAAATGGCAGACTGCTCTCTGGGCGAGGGCACAGGGAAACCGTCCGTTCTCCGTCTGAGCTGGCCGTAACGCAGAGGTTTAGCAGCTGCTTTTGGGAAGCCACCTGACAACTGGTCACAAGCGCCACAGAAATGTTTATATCCTTGTAACTATAAACCCACATAGAGGAATCCCACCTAAGGGGAAAATGCCTAGATACAGAAGAACCATTGCACATAAAGATGTTGTGTTATTTCTAGTAGAAATCATTGGAAACTCTTGAAAGCCTCACAAGAAGGGTCGACCTCTGCTCAGTAGAACACGGCCCGGACGAGATTACGAGTCGCCCTGGCGCAGAGCCCGGGCAATGCACCACGCCTGCGTTTGGGGCTGGGCGGGGCGCGGGCGCAGGGCCCCAAGGCCAGGGGAAGCTGAGCCAAAACATCCGCGCAGCTGTGCTCCAGCGGCGGAAGTCCAGCTCTCCTTTCCTGGGCTTTCTGAGTTTTTATGTGACAGGGTTGCAGACATTTTCTGCTTGAAAAATAAATAGAATTCACTTTCTTTTTAAAAACACACTTTATATATCACTGTGAGAATGCCGAATGCTGTTCAGTAGGAAGCCACAGGCTACCACCACGACCAGCTTCACACAGCCCGGCGTGCGGGAGCCCGTGTCCTCGCGGGCCGTGACGGCGTCCGGCGAAAACAAGGAAGCCGCGGTGGCCGCCGCAGGCGTGAGGTCCAGGCTGCAGCCCCAGGCGTGCGGGGCCCATCAGTGATGGGCAGAGGACGCCTGGGAACATGACTTGGCTTTTCACTTGGCCTCAGTTTCCCCGTCTGTGAAATACTCCACACCTCATAACGTTTTGGTAAAGATTCAGATGAAATAATTCATGTTTAAAAAAATCGCATTTAGAAGATGATTCCAACCAAAGAATATCCATAGCAACAGATGCAGGTTTCCCTTCTGGGCGGCACGGTGCCGATGCACCCGTCCAACAGACACGTCTCGATCTCGTCAAGCGTGTAAGCGTCAGCCCGCGTGTGCCTCCCTGGGGACGTGAGGACAAGCGGGACGTCGTTTCCTCCCTTGCACCTTTTACAGGCTCCACCTGGAGAAGCCAGGAGCGCCCTAACCACCACGACTAAGGCCACGCGCTCCTCTCCCTGCTGGGCCGCGTGTTCACGCCAGCAGGAGCGACCCCGAGCAACCTCGCCACCCTGTCCCTGCGGTTTTATTACCTCCCAGATTGTTCCATAATCACCGTTGTTTTCGGAGGGAAAAAGCACTTTCCATTTTAGCCACTTGGGTACGGCTCTCACCGGCCGTGACACCTCGCCCACAGCCGCACTCACGGTCCCCACAACAGTCTGCGCTGTGCGTTGACGTCACGTCCGTTTCGCTCTTGTGTCATGAGGAAAGTTTGAAAGCACCGAGAGCTTGTTCTACTTTACAGGCAGCTTTAGGAAAATAACTATGATAACTCCTACTGAGGACTTGTTAAAAGGTCACAGATCCGTAGTGACTTGTCAGCTGCAACTGCAGAGATAAAAGCAAAAGCTTTTGGCTGTCGGCTACAGTCGACGCTCGGCTGTGCGCGTTCATACACGGCTGTCGGCTACAGTCGCTGTGCGCGTTCAACTGTGGCTGTCAACTACAGTCGACGCTGGTACCGGATTGGTTAAAGAAGAAAGTATTTTCGGACTTTTGTTTTCTTTACATGTTTTAAGTAGCAAATAAAGAACACACACGAGTTTCCCTATTTCCAAATAAATTCAGGTAAAGGTGAGATGCCTGCAGGTGACTCCTCCATGGCTCAGGCCCCACCCATCCCCAGAGCCCCGAAGGTGGCGTTGTCCCTGCCCCTTGTTCATTTGGATGTGCGAAGAAGACATTGAGTTTCATGTTCTCCCTAAAAACGTGGGCTGTCTAGAACCCAGGAGCAGCACAGAGCAGAGCGCGGTAAAGCACGTTCACGGGAAAGTACTCAAGGACCCTGCCGGTCCTTACCTGCACAGCATTTGAGATTTGTCTCTAAAATAAAGTCTGCGTGACTTCGCGGAGCACCAGGGGCTCTGCCATTGGCTGGAAAATCTACACCATAGTTGCCCATAATGACACAAAAACGCACACAGTATTTGTACTTATCCTCGGTAAGTCATGTCAGTCTCATAAGTGATAAAGTACAGGCACGTAACTGCTTTAAAACACTCCTCTGTGCACCTGGTCGAGGAGAGCGGAAAACACAAGCCTGTCTCTGTCGCTGTAGCGCACACAAAGCACCTGGCCAACATCTGTCTTCTTTTGAGTTTCTGATAACAGCCATCCCGAGGGGCGGGGGTGGCACCTCCCGGCGGTTCTGATTTGCATTTTCCTGATGCCTGGTGATGTTGTCACCTCTTCATAGACCTGCTGGGCATTTTCATGCCTTCTTTGTACACATGGTTTTGCCTACTATTTTAATCAAGCTATTTGCTTTTCCACTGAGTTGTGTGAGTTCTTTATGAATTTTGGGATAGTCAGCCCTTATCAGATCAACGTTTTGGGAATGTTTTTTTTTCCCCAGTCCACAGGCTGCCGTTTCATCTTGTCGATTGTTTCCTTGGCTGTGCAGATGCTTTTCAGTTGGAGGTAGCCCCGCTTATTTATTTATTTTTTTGCTTTTTGCAGCCCGAGATTTCGGCGTGATATGCGGACAACACAACAATCGCCAAAGCCTCTGTCGAGGATCTTTTCCCTCCGTTTTCCTCTGGGAGTTTTGTGGTTTCAGGTTTTACATTTAGGCCTTTAATCCACTTTGCATTGGTCTTTGTGCCTGGTGTGAGATAAGGGTCAGATTTCACGCCTTTGCAGTGGAAATCCGTGTTCCCTGCACCGTGGTGGCCTCTTGGTGCCCCGCCGAAAGTTAGCGGGCTGCGTACGTCTGGATTCTCCTCTGGGGTCTGCATTCCCTTCCCTGGGCCGTCTGTCCGTGCTTATGCGAGTACCGTGTAGTTTTCATGACTGCAGCTTTACAGTATGATTTCAGATCAGGAGGTGTGGGGCCTACCACTTTTTCTTTCTCAGAATTGTTTTGGCTATTGGGAGTCTTTCCTGGTTCCATGCAAATTTTAGGGTTTATTTGTTTCTATTTCTGTAAAGAATGCCATTGGGATTTCGAAAGGGATCAGGTGGAATCCACAGATCACTTCGGGAAGTTTGGACATTTTAACAATATTAATTCTTCCAGTCCTTGGGCACAGGAGCGCTTTCCATTCATTTGTGTCTTCTTCAATTTATTTTATCAATGTTTTATAGTTTTCAATGCATAGATATTTCATCTCTTTGGTTAATTTATTCCTCGGTATTTTATGGTTTTTGATGCTATTGTAAATGAGATTAGTCTCTTAATTTTTTTCTATTAGGTTATTATTTGTCTATTTAAAAATGCTACTGATTTTCGTATGTTGATTTTGTATCCTGCAACTTTACTGAGTTCATTTATTAGCTCTAGTAGTCTTTTGTGGAACTTTTGGGTTTTGTTACATGTAGGATCATGTCATCTACAAATAGAAATCATTTTACTTCTTCCTTTCTGATTTGTATGTCTTGTATTTATTTTTCTTGTCTGACTGCTGGTTCTAGAGTGGCCAGTGACACGTGGAATAGAAGTGGCGAGGAGGGCTGTCTCTGCCTTGCACCAGATCTTCCCGGGGGAAGCTTTCGGTTTTCCCCTCCAGCTCACTGTTGGGGGGAAGTATATTGGCGCCGCCATTATGGAAAACAGTGTGGCGGTTTCTAAAGAAATGGAAAACAGAGCTATGAACGCTTAGCACAGCATTCTGCCTTCTGGGCGTGCAACCAAGGAAACAAAATCACCACCTCGTGAAGACCTCTGCACCCCCGTGTTCACTGCAGCAGATTCACAACAGCAGAGAGATGGAAACAGCCTGGGTGCCCATTGATGGGTGAATGGATGGAGAAGCCGTGATACGTGTGCAGTGGAATATTACTCAGCCCTGAACAGGAGCGAGGCCTGGGCATTTGCCTCTGGGTGTAGCCTGGGGGACATTACGCTAAGCACACTAAGCCAGACACGGAAGAAAAATAATGGATAATCTCACTTATACGTGGAATCTGAAGTTTGTTTCAATGTCAGATCTTCAGACAGAATAAAACGGTGGTCGCCAGTGTTGGGGGCGGGGGGATGGGGAGGTCGCAAAGTAGCAGAAATGCAGGACGAGCAAGTCCGAAGAGCTAAGTCACAGCGCAAGCCACTGAGGTGGATACAGTTGCGCTGTATACGGGAGTCATGCCAAATGAGTTTATTTTATTTGCTTTTGCCAAGAAACTAGAAAATAGGTAACTTGGTGAGATGATGGGAATGTTGATTCCCTTTTCACTTCACTATAGCAACTGTTTTACTATCTCCATGTGCCCTATGACACCATGTGTGCCTTAGATAAAATGTATTTGGAAAAAAGGGAAAGGAGGAAGCATCTGGGTCTAGAAGAGGCAGGTTGTCTGGAAACCCAGCACTGGTTTTCTCTACAACTCTCCACTGTGTCCTCGGCCCCCAGCAATCCATTCCGATGTCACCGAGCGGCAGAGCCCCGCCCGCGCTCGGCCTGCCTTTGCCCTGAGAAACAACAATGCCATGTACGTGCCCACGAGAGCGCACCTGCAGCTGGCTGGGCGTGAGCCCGCGTCTCTCTCCCTGGTGGACTAGAGGCACCTGCTCTCCGGCACCGAGCTCTGCAGTGGCCGCCACCCGGGCCCGAGGCGGAGCCCCTTTGGGTTCCTCCTGGCGGCTCCCTCGGCCCTCGCGGCCCGCCCGGGAGCCAGGGACGGCGAGGGTCGGCTTTCACACCACGGAGGGGTGGGAAAGGGAACAGGGACAATTCATGATGTGAAAATTGCATGAAATTTAAATGAACGTCCACGCCCATAAATACAGTTTTGAATTTCATCTTTTCTCTCTCTCTCTCACCATCTGAGTACCTGCCTAATAGCCTCGGCTCTGTCTCCTGTCCCACAAAGACTAAATTAATGCCTGCTCTCCGGCCTTCCTGCCGTAAGCCGGCACCCGCCCACTGCGCCGGGCCTGGTCTCCCAGCAGACAGGGCCGTGCCCCGGGCGCTGGCCACTTCTGCCTGGCCAGCGTGGCCTCCCTTGGGGTGGCGGGCGGCTCACTCGCACGGTCTGCCTGCCAAGCGATGCGTTGCAGGACGCAGGCGCCGCTTGGCGATGGCGAGCCCAGCTGGCCACTGCCTGCCCCTGGGCGTTCCTTCCACCAGGCGCGGGGCCGCAGCTGGGGGTGACCTGGCGCTGTTCTCAGGCCGCGTTCTCCCCCGTGGGATGAGGTATCCTCTGATAACGCTGACAACAATGCTGTGTTTAGCCTTGTTTTGCTTTTTCCCCCCCTTGTTGTCAGGACGGGAAAAAAATGATTTTCTCAACTTGAAATGTCTGTCCCCTGACTTTTCCTTAAACCCTTCCGCTTGCCAGCGTTTGGTCCCTGTGCTGCAGGTGTGGCGTCGGCCTAGCACGGAGCCGGCGCCTCTGCCCCGCGGGGCCAGGTGTCGGGGGTGGACCTGCCTCGGGAGCAGCTGGCACGCCTGGCGATGCCCACGGACACGCCACAGCACACGTGTTCTACCCGTAAAGTCATCCCAGAACCGCGGGACGGAACCGCGTCCTCAGCGTGTCTCGGGGTTCTGCGGACGTCCGGGTGCCCCATCCGTGTCAACAGGGGCTGGGGGGGGGTCCTGCGTCAGGCGGCCCACGCCGTCCGCAGCGCTCGGCAGAGAGCAAGCGGTTCGCAGCCCTGGAAACCGAGGCACTGGGGGCCTAAAACCCCACGGCGAGGGAGGGCGGCGTTGAGACCCAAGCCAGCGAGCGCGCCGCGCCCTGCGTGCGTGCGGTGCCTGTGCGTGTTCACGGCCGGCAGCGTCGACTCGGCCGCTGTGCTTCTGAAAGTAATTTCCGCGTGTTCTCGCAGCTGGAGGAAGAAGGTTGTCATTATTTACAAAAACCCTGTGGAACTGGAAGAGACACCCTCCTTCCATGCGAGATTCTATGCAGTTTCTCAGGAATTCCAATTTTCCCATAACTGGCGACGCCCGGCGCTGGGGCGGGGCTGCGGGCAGTGTCCCGAGCTGGGAAGCTCAGCCGCCCGCCTCCTTCCCCGCAGGGATCAGTCGTCGGCTGCGAGGCAGAGCTAAGCCGCCGTTCGCTGCGCTGACGGGCAACGCCCTCTCCAGACAGCTGCCTGCGTGTGGGCACTGCATTTGATGGGCACAACAGCACTCCCTTTGCTAGGGCGCCGCCGGCTGCTTGCACAACACGGCGAGACCAAAACGAACGCATGACGTTGGCAGTTTAATTGCCCACTAAGGAAGCTACCTGGCACCTCCCGCGTCAAGTTCTCAGACACCTGTCTGCGACACCCTGAGCTGGCACTCGGTCTAAGTGCACAGACTCCAAGTTCACACCTTCACCCGGCAAAGCCCGGCCCTGCCCGCGCCAGCGGTCCTAGGTGCTCACAGGCGGAGGCAACCCGGGGGCTGGCGCAGACGGGCCCTGGTGAGATGCTCAGGGGCTGGCGCCTGGCCCTGGACAGTCGCCCGGTCTCCGGCAGGGCAGGGACAGGGGTGGAGTGTCTCCACGGCCCCAGCACACCCGGTCACCTGCAGAGTTCCACACAGGAACGTCCTTAAAGGAGCCAAACACGGAGTTTAGTTACCTGGTCAAGAGGAAAGTGACCCAAACCACCTACCAGACACCCCGCTTTCAGAAGCGATGTTGATGGATAGTGAATTGGGCACCTGCTGCTCAGAGCTCTGCAATTTGATTGATTCCTTCTTTAAGCCAATCAGCGGCAAAGTCCTGAGCGGTCACCGTTGCTCTTCCACCAATGACCTGCTGCCCAAGAAGTCAAAGCACGCCGCGGCCTTCCAGGGCCTTGCAGCCGAATACCGAACGTAGACATAACTCGCGTGAAAGCGTGTTTTGAGACGACCACGGGAGGGTTTCCTGCCCACGTCCCGACACGCCGTCACTGCTTGCAAGCGAGTGGCCACCGTTCCACGCCTGCGTCTCTCCCCGCTGCCTCAACTGCTCGTCCCAAGTTGCAGGGCTGAGAACACTAGCTGGGGGGTGACAGAGGGTCCCTAGGGCTGGGGGGGTGATGGTTAATGGGACAGGCTTTCTGTTCCGGAAGGTGAAAGAGTCCCCGAGGCGGGTGGTGGCGACGGCTCCACAGCACAGTGGGAGTGCCCTGCGCCCCGGCCCCGACACCCAACAGTGGGTCAAAGGTCAGATTGTATGTTATTTTCATCTTACCAAGATAAAATATTCATTAACCGGAAACATGGAATGAGAAATTACATTTATTTATTTATTGGCAAATGAAATGATCTCACTCAGTTCCTTCAGCTGCTGCTAAAGAGGAAAAAGCAACAAAAGTATATTTTTCTCATTAAGAATTTGCTGTCTGAGGCCGGGCGTGGTGGCTCACGACAGTAATCCTAGCACTCCCAAGGCGGGAGGATCGCTCGAGGTCAGGAGTTCGAAACCAGCCTGAGCTGGTAGAGACCCCTGTTTAGTAGAGACCCTATCTCTACAAAAAATAGAAAGACATTAATTGGCCAACTAAAAATATATAGAAGAAAAAATTAGCCGGGCATGATGGCGCATGCCTGTAGTCCCAGCTACTCGGGAGGCTGAGGCAGGAGGATCACTTGAGCCCAGGAGTCTGAGGTTGCTGTGAGCTAGGCTGACACCACGGCACTCACTCTAGCCTGGGCAACAGAGTGAGACTCTGTCTCAAAAAAAAAAAAAAAAGACTAACGTAAACTCATAGATGACTTATGAGGAACGAACTATCGTCTCCAAAACACAGTGCTTGATGCAGCAAACGCATAGTAAGAGAAAAATAGAGTCTGCGAGTTAGAAGACTGTGCACAGAACTTAGTTTCCTGTACTTCCTTGCTTTGGGGATGATCTAATTAATTTTCTAATATTTATATTGAGTTGATTTCGTGAAGTTGTGCTTACAATGTTCTAAGTTAATGCAAAATTTTGAAATCGCCGATATCCAGTCTTAGCAAGAGTGTGTGGCCATGGCCACGCCTGTGCAGGGCTGGGGGGGCATTAACCCGCACAACGGGGGCCACTTCGTCAGTCCCGAGCAAGTCTGTTTTCCTGATTGCTTTTCCTA